GGGAGGAGGTAGGGACAGAGGGGATCTTGCCTCTAGTGATAAAAAGCTGACATTCATGGACAAGGGGAAAAATATTCAGATATTAAAGAAATGTATTGTTCCTTGAAGGCACATTTTGAGAAAAATAATAAAAGATAAAATAGAAAGGAGAGCTAGCAGAGGCAGGATTGTGGGTGGTCCAGTAAAATGCACACTGCCATGTATGTGCCTGCTCCTGTGAGGCAAACTAAAGCGCCCTCGTAGCAATGCTTGTTAGCCGTGCTAGTTCTCGTTGCTGCTTGGCAGCTGCGCCGCTGAGTGATGGTCCCTGGTGGGAGCAGCTCTGGGATCTGTGAGCGAGGTGGTTACAGAGTAGTACCTCCATGAGCATTATGGAAGAATACCTGCTCTTTGAAGGAACTCATTCCCCAGAGTGGTGTCAGGCAAGCTTTGCCCGCAGTGATGATCACTGTACAAAGTAGCAGTAGCTGAATGGAACAAAATGTCAAACAGATCAGTTAATAATTATATTAAAAATGAGAGGAATATTTAACTGTAATAAGTGAGTGATGGACTGTATAAAATGTTTGGAAGAAATAAGTATCATAAGAAAACTTCACCTGATCTTAATCAGTATAGAGTACTTAAGGCAGTGCTAAGGAGAGCTAGATTTTTATATTTTTTTTTGTGGCTAGTGCACAGGGCTGCCCAGTAGATATACTAAGCAAATTAGACAATAATTATTCAAGATGAACTGAAAAGCTGTCACTAATTCACCTTCACAGATTGTTCTAGAAGAACTTGAAGAGGGGGATATATATGCTTATATGTACTTATTATTTGAATTATCTCATATGTCGAGAGAGAGAGACATTTCATTTTTGGAAATATTAACTGATTGTTAAGAATAGAGGCAAAGAAGCATCTGAAACACTTCTGCTGTGTTGGAGAGCTGTGTACACAAAGGGAGTGCGAATGTGCATGTTAACTTTTAATAAGCTTGGAAATCATTGACATGTAAACAGCTATTATTCCAACCAGAGCCTGTACTTTTGTGAGAGGCATATTATGCTGTAGTACAACCATGAGATATCTCTGTTAAGCTAAGTGATACCATATTACCCCCTGTATCACAAGAATTTACTTGATGTCAGGCTGTGGCTATGGGCCAGAATTGTTCAGCAAGTTCACCCCAAGAGTGCTAAGACTGAGTCTCAAGGAAAAAAATGTTGATGCGTGATAGGGGATTATGGCTTGTGTTTGATTCTTAATTCTTTGTGAATGTAAAGATGCTGAAGAGGACTGTATCTAGGACTCCTTGACTATCCTTAGAAGACTTCTTACATAATTTAGCTCCCCTGGGAAGCCTGTGAGGGCAACATGAGTTCAGCTTCAGCTCCATTCATACTGCAAGTCAGACAGACTGGGACAAATGGATCAAACAGTCATTTCTATCTTTTGTTTGTATCAAATACTGCGAGAGAAGTTATTCTTACTACAGCTCCAATCTGGCTCGACTGAGAAGTGCTAGAAATCTTTAACCAATCTGTTGTAGAGTTGTCAACAGTGGCTTCTCGTTGCATTTGATAACCCAGCAGGAGTAAGAAGCCCTAGCAGCTCAGATTACTAATAAAGGTTAGTTTTCTCTAAGCCCCTTCCCAGGACTGCCTTGCCCGTCAGCCCAGTGAACTCTGGACTGCCATTCCTTAACCCTCCTGATCTCAAAACTATTGTATCGCCTCTCCCTCCACCATAATCTGGTTACACTTTTCCTCTGACCGACTGTTGCAGGGCTCCACTGCTGTCCTGCTCCACTTTGAGATCTAAGGGGCCATGATCTGCTGGAGTCCTCTGGGGGAAGAGGCAGCACCTTGGGGGATGGAGCACCCTCCTGCAGGCAGGCAGGCCTGGAATGTTTTGTTGGTTCCTGAGAACCTGCCTGAGCCTCTCTTCTCTGCCTCCTGCCACCAAAACAGGGAACCCAGTTAGTAATTTTTGAAACAATTGCCGAACTGACAAATGGAAGCCTGATAATTGGTTAACAATCTCTGCTTCTGTGTTCACTCACCAAACCTCAGGGCAAGAGGTGTCAAGTCAGCTGTACCTTACAGCAAGTCCCGGAACTAACATGGCAAAAAGGCTGAATAGGGAGTTCAAACAGAGGCTGAAGTGTGAGTTGTCATGGCAGTTAACAGACGTGCCTGTGCAAGCCCAACTATCCTTTATCACCACTGCTTTCTGCAAGAGATCCTTTGGTCTCCTTTCTGTTATGTGCAGTGTTCATGCTGGCTCATATAAGCCATTTCAGTGATAACACATTCAGTGCATATAATTTCTAATTTTTGGTTCTGGTTTTGCTGCAATTAAAGCATGCAGGCCTTTGAAAAAAGTCAAGGAAGTCTCTCAGCATATATCCTGAATACATGGCAGATACGAATAGGACCCTCAGTAACATGATTATAATTCAGATAACTGAACACAGGCCCCTACAGAAAACCACAATTAGTTTTAGGTGCTATTCAAATGATACAAAACATTTCAAATAATTTTAAGACTAGGAGGTATTGGAATGATTCCATTTCCATGCCTTTGAGGTACAAGTATTCAGGAACTCCGAGTATCATAGAAATTCATGTTGGAATTCACATTTAATGGAAAACCTAAACATAATTATGTCAAATCAAAACGTTAAATCTGAACATTCAGCATAGGAATAAAATGAAAAAAAATAATTTCTCCTTTATTTTTCTTCCACAAATCTATCCTTTATGCAACATTAGCTTCAAGAAACTACAACTGATCAACCAGGTGTCAGGAAGCTAAGTGCGCATGCAGTGGCAGGAAAAAAGACAGAACATCTTGTGGCAGCATGTACCAGGGGTTTTGGCTGCTGTTCTGCTGTGAGATGGGCTGAGACAATGTTGCAGTGCAGCTGGTCAAAGCTGTGGTAAAACATCTGGAAGAGACACTTTTGGGTGGGTGGGGAAATACTGCTGACACCTGATACGCCAGAATTTGCCAGCAATTTTGTTGCAGATCTTGTCCAGGGTCGTATAGTCTCTGGGAACCTTGAAAAAATGAACAAAACCAACTTTGTGGATTGGGCTGAAAAAATTCAAACAACTTACATAGTTGGACATGAAAAGTAACTTCATTTTTTCTTTAAGAATGGGTACTGTATTGTCTATAATCTTTTGCCTGGGAAGTTCTGTACGCTATATTCCAGAATGAAAAACATAATCACTTTTTGACAGACGAATTAACCTAGGGTGAAGCTTGGCCCCATGTTGACATATTGGGTGTACATTTGGCCTGTTGGCATGTGGCTAAAACAGAATATGCAGGGAGAAAGGTACTGAACGCTGAAAAGGGAATTACTGTAATTCATTTCTAAATGGGAAAAAATATGTATGGCTCAAAAATAACATGTAAATATAGCCTTAAGACTTATAATGGAAGAGGTTAGGAAAAGCATATGACAACCTTAAATATAATTCAATCTCAGGAGGCATTCATAAATGGCATAGAAGCTTATAATAAATTTAAATAACAACTGTAGTAACTTCAAACTGTTGGGAAACTATTATAGCTTAAAAAAATTTTTCAGAAAGGTATTTTAAGCACAGAATTATGACAATTTAAACCATAACTATTTCCCTAACTGGATAGTTTTCTCCCCAACAGGGTGTAGGTAACACTGCTTAAATTATTGATCTTGAAAAAAAAAAAAACCCCTACATTTTTTCTCTATGTTTTTCCTTTTTTTCTCCTCCAAAAGTTCAATATTTTCCCCCCATTTGTCTTTTTTAGGGGGGAGAGGTAAAATAATTTTTTCTCAGAAGCCCTAGACATCTGGCAGCCTCTTCTGTGGGTGGAGGCTGTCAGGCACAGGGGCTGAGCGCAGCGGGAGGCGTCCGGGTCGGTCGGGTGGAGGCACCATGTAGAATCAATTAGGTTCGAAAAGATCTCTCACATCATCGAGTCTAACCTACGACTGAACACCACCGTGTCAATTAGACCATGGCACTAAGTGCCACATCTAGTCTTTCCTTTACACACCTCCAGGGACGGTGACTCCACCACCTCCTGAGCAGCCCATTCCAATGTCTAATCATCCTTTCTGTGAAGAAATTCCTCCCAGTGTCCAACCTGAACTTCCCCTGCTCAGCTTAAGACTATGTCCTGTCGTTGCGTCGCTTTTTACTTGGGATAAGAGGCCGACCCCCACTTGGCTACAATCTCCTTTCAGGTATTTTTACGTTGTAGAGAGCGACAGGGTCACCCCAGAGCCTCCTCTTCTCCAGGAAAACACCCCCAGCCTCTGCTCAGCCGCTCCTCGTAAGACTCGCGTTTCAGACCCTTCACCAGCTTCGTTGCCCTTCTCTGCACTCGCTCCAACCCCTCTATGTCCTGTCGGGCACTCCCGGCCCTCCCGCCGTTTAGACAGACCCGTCGCCATCAGGGCCGGCCCGGGCCCCGCTGCCCCGGCAGGGCGTCCCGGGCCCGGGGCGGGTGTGTGTGGGGGGCCGGCGCCGCCCGCAGGGGAGCCCGCCCGCCGCTGCGGGCCAAGGCAGCGCGGCCCCGCCGCCCCGCGCCGCGCCTGGCGGAGCCGCGGCCGGCGGGAATCCAGTCCGGGTTTTGACGCCGGGGACCGGCGGCGGCGAGAAAAGCGAGCGGGAGCGGACCCCGCGCCGCGCCCGACAGCCGGGCCGGGCCGGGCCGGGCCGGGCGGCAGCCGGCGGGGAAAGAGGAGGAGGCGGGCGCCGGGAGCAGGTGGGCGAGCGGCTGGGCGGCCGCGCCGGCTACGGGCCCGCCTGGCCGCGCCCGCGGGCCCCCATGGCCGCGGCGCGCCCGCCGCACACACCCACCGCCGCCCCCCGGTGAGCGCCGCCGCCGCCCCTTGGGCAGCTCGGCGGGGCCGCTGCCCGCGGCCGGGGCTGAGCGCGGCGGGAGGCGGCCGGGCCGGCCGGGCGGAGGCACCATGCAGGCGCGGCGCTTGGCCAAGCGCTCCAGCATGGGCAGCCGGCGGCTGAGCGCGGCGGCCGCGCAGGTGGACGCGGTCCGGCCCCCCAAGCCCGAGAGCGCCTGGAGGCCGCCCCGGCGGGAGGGCTCCGCCGCGGCGCTGGAGGAGGAGGACGAAGACGAAGATGTGGTGGTGGAGGTGGAGGAGGAAGAGGAGGAGGAGGAGGGCGGCCTGGGGAGCGCCCCCCCGGCGCTGACCGGCCACGGCAAGGGCCCCCTCCGGGGCAGCCTCAAGGTGCGTCCCGGGAGGGCGAGGGCGGGAGCGGGGCGGGAGCGGTGGAGGGGCCCGCTCGGGGGTGCGGCGCCGGCGGGGCGGGCCGGGCCGGGCCGGGCCGGGCCGGGCCGGCCGGTGTCCCGGGCCAGGCCGGGGAGCAGTGGGGGCGGCCTGCGGCCCGGAGCGGAGCAGGGAAGCGGGCGGGCACTGGGGGCTGTGGGGTCGCCGGGGGCGGACGGGCCGGCGCTCAACAAGTCCCAGGGGAAGCGGCTGCCGGGCTCCGGGGGCGGCCGGTGCGGGCGGCGGAAAGCAGCTAAAAGCGGGTGGGGGGCGTGGGGCGCCACCGGTGTCCGAAGGAGTTTGAGCATCGGGAGTGGAGACTTGGCTGTGTGGGGTGGGAAGGATGTTCATCCCGGTCGTGTGCGCAGAGGTGTTTTGGAGAGCCGTGCCCTGCGGGCTGCCCCGGGTGGCCGTGGGGAGGAGACCTGGGTGGGCGACCTGTGGAAAGTTTGGGAATGGAGCAGTACTATGCAGAGGCCCGATTCGAATTCTATGGAAGCGTGCGCGGAACTCGGTGCGTTTGGGAACAACCTGCTGAACACACCCACCGGCTGAGATCCCGCAGACTTAGGCTTAATGATTTTATCGTGGAGAGTTTTCTGTAATTATTTTCCTCTTGGGATAATCAGGGTAGCAAGATTAAGTCTGTGTGTAGTTCTGCGGAGGATTCATGTGATAGGTGTGCAGTGGTTATGGAAAATGGAAGTTTAGAAGACATCCATTTGAATTACTTTTTTTTCTTTAATCTGGATAATCATTCTTATTTAGCAAGAGTTCAGGTTTAGGGAAGTAGTAGTGCCATATTACCATTGGGGTCTTCCCTGTACCCACAGTTGTAAAAAAAAATTAAAAAAGAAACAAATTCAAAACAAAGAACACGTAAAAAAATCCCTGAAGGAAAGTAGCAGCAGAAATACAAGTTATCTCCATATTACTTCAGAGCAAGATTGTTACAATACTGACAGGATCAGTGTTATGCCACTGGGACATTGGAGTAGGATGAGTCTGTCACAGGCCATGAGTTGTGGTTATGGTGTGCCTGAGTCAAACCATCCATGGTGCTGAGGCCTGACAGGCTGGAACAGCTTGGTTGGTACAAAACCTTTTGACACTTGACTGGTAGCCTTAGAATGAAAGGCACCTTAACGTGCTTCTGGTCTGATCCGTCTCCCGTTCGTACTGAAACTCTTAAGTGGCAGAGGAGGCTTAGAGGAACTTCCTGTATATAACCAATAGAAAAAAAAAAAAGTGAAATTCTCAAGTGGAGCACAGTAATCTGAATTATCAACTGCATTACATAGGTGTAGTCTGTATATAACGTGGATTATCAGAGTGCACTGTTCTGTTTGTCAGCCTTCAACATGCTTTTGAGTAGAAGGGCAGTTAAAGGTAACTGGTATTTCTGCCTTACACTTAGGAGTATGTGTGCATATAAAAGTGTAGTTCTTGCATGTATTTACTTCCTTAGATAGAAAACCTACCTCATAGATGTGATGAGTAGAGTCATACCTATTAGGCTACTTTTAGTATACGTAATCAACTCTCCAGTCATTTTTGGTAACCAGGTGCACATAGTTACCCTCTTTGGAAGAGTACGTCTTACTGTCATGACCTGGCTGGTTTCTGCTTTCTTTGCGTATACTTTCGAGTACTATAAACTAAGAAAACTTACAGTTTAACACTGTAAAGAAATTATCTTTGGTTTCTGTCTATTTCTTTAGTGATTGTTAGTGTGGGAGTACATAAAGCTTAATCTGAGTGTTCTTCCAAGTAATTTTAAAGCAACAGATTAAACTTGAGAGAAGCAGGCATAAAATGAATGCAGAGGTCTAACTGCAGACTGTGGGAGGGTAATAGGACTGGCACGATCTGGCTGTGATTTGTCAAATGGGATACCTGCCAAATGGAGAACTAGCGCGCAATCAGCAGCATTTGACTCCCTGGCCTTCTGAGCTGGGGACTGGGAGCAAAAGAAACTGAAGGGGTGTCCACGGCTGAGAGATCGTAAACTGTTGCAGTGACGAGTACTCTTCAGAACAAAAGATGTCCTGAAAAACTTCAGAATTTAATCAGATTTGAAAGCGAAGTGATCTGGGTACTGTTTTTGCGGTGTATGCTACCTGGATAATGCAATTAAAAAGCATTACATGATGTTCTGGTGTGCGGTGTAGGTACAGGTAATTCACACATAACACTTGATGTGTGTGCCCTTGGATGGAATGGCATTTTAAACCTAGAGGTTTCAGGGGCTCTTGACAAAGTCAGTTCTGTGGACTGCCTGGGATACAGGGATGAATGCATCGTAGGTCTGTGATGGAATTAATATTGTTAAAACATTGCCTGAGAATTTGGTCCAGTAGTCAAGATTAAAAAAAGGAGTTGCACCTTTAGGTCTTAGAGCCATATTGTCTCCTTCAGAAAGAAGTCCACTGTGTGGCTGCACCACTGGTAGTCTGTTTCTGACCCTCACTCTTAAACATGGGGATAGAAAGAGAGGAAGAAGTACTTTATAAAGATGAATCTTACTTCTCCAATTTCTGAAGCCTTGGAAGGAGAAAACAGATATGACAGAAAAGAGAGTAAGAGAGACTGATAGTCATGGGTAATATACAAAATTTGTTTCTTTATATTGCTGTAGCCATGTAGATGTCCAAGTGGAGAACAGTGGAGAACATTTTTGTTGCTGTTTCGCTCGTGCTGTTTGTCATGCTGGAATAGGCATGAGCATGCTGTGTGTGGGCTGGTAGGTAACAGCAGAATAGCCAGAGTGTCTTTGAGAGCTGGTAAAGCCTTGTTGAGAAGCTCTGTGTTTTCATACTTTGTCAGAACTAATTCATTAACCTGTATAGAGAAACAAATAACACCAAGGTGCTGACACTACAGACTCATTTTGCGCTTGAAACTCTTTTTGGGCAGCCTATCCTTGCTTTGGCTGCATTTGGATTTCCAGCAATTTGAAACTACGTGAAAAAGAGTAAGTAGTGTAATTACCAGTACTTTTGTCTTGAAGTGTGGATTAATTTGCAGTCCTGTTTAATTCACCTTTTGTATGAAGCTTAGTTCAGATGCCACAAACAGCCACGTTAGTACCATGCTGCGGTTAATACACCCTATGGAAACTGCTGATTTTGTTGATAAGGAGAAGAGGTTTTGAAGTAGAGGGTCCATCAGTGGCCTGCAATGCTGAGTTTATCAGGTACTTGGAAGAAAACCCCGTTGCAAGTAGCTCTGCTAGTTTGCCTGTAAACCGCTAGAGCACTATGATTGAGAATTTAGGGTAGTAGTGAACATGGGCTTCTGATAACATGCCAGATTGTTGCAGTATTTTCTCTACTGTTATAAATAGTGAAGAGATTAGTGTTTTCTTCTGTTTAGCCTAGTTGAGCTGCCACTTTATCTCCAGCCCAATTTCTGTCCCCAGGCTTAGAGGGTATGGACAGAGGACATTCCTAACCCAGCTGACTGTGGGCACTGCTCCTGTTACTTACCTGTGGAATTACCTATTCCCAGATACTGGTTTGTTTGTGAGCACCTCTTGGTAGTTTAAAGGATGAATTTCCCACAAAAGTATTTGTTCTTACAAATACGTAGCTTTCAAAATCATGAGAAATGATTAGTTGAGAAGTCTGAAAACTAAAGACGCAGAGAGCTGTGTGATGATGCTGGAGGAATATGAAAGCCCAAGGTGTGTAAGGAAGACTTTAACTTCTCACACATTGGGCTCAGTTTTACCCACCTCACAAAGTGAAATTTGTGACAGATACACAGTACAGAGCATTTACAAGCCTATTCCAGAGGGTTCAGAGTAGGGGTGACAGATGCTGGTAGGAGTTTAGTCCATGAAAAAGTATGCTTTGGGGCATGATTTCTGTGGTTTGTTATGTTTTGTGTTGATTTATTTGCTCTCTCTTGTTTGTTTGTTTTAAAGATAGAGACATCTATGTGGTATATGGGATGCAGAAGAATCTTCAGAGTTTGTGTGGAAGAAATCAGTTGCCTGTTACTTACATTTGTTGTTTGGCTGGGTTGAATTTGCTTTCTGCTCCTTTGCCCCTTTTCTCTGCATTCTTTCTAAAGCCTGGTGTGAATTCATTGCTGCCCTTTAAATGAGACTTTCAGCTTTGCTGTTTGAGTGGGCTATAGGCTCATCATGGACAAAACAAAGTGGGGTTTTTTGCTTGATTAACAAAGTGCTATGGATTTAGCTTTCATATGTGTGTTCAAATGTATTGTAACAGGCAATTTGCAGAATGCAAACTTAAAATACTAGATTTGCTTAGTGGAGGAGAGACATACGACACATTAGGAACTTGCACACTAACATAAGAGTAAAATGAAATGTTCCCTCTCAGACTAATAATGTTATTTTTGTAAATACTGCTAGTTATTAGAACACTGAAACTCACATTTTGATCTTGGAGCAGGATCCTGTTAGGTTACGCTGTGTACAAACTCAGAACAAATATGATCCTGCTCTACCCTCTTCTACAAAGTAGAAGAGTAACACGAGATATGAATGGGTATGATGGACTGTGAGGAACAACTAAAGGGTGAGACGAGAGTCAGATAAACACCAGCTGCTTAGACATAATTTAGTAAGGAGATAAACTTAATTAATTTTTAAATTTCAACTGTCATTTGGTTTCTTACAGTTCTCGAGTGGAAACCTGCCTAGTAAAGTTGGTGTGGAAGATACATACTAGATTTGGGATTTTTTTTCTTCCTTATGAAAAATTTAAAAAGTTTATACGTAGTATGGATTACTGGAGGCAGAACTGGGAGTGGTGAGATTGTAGGATGATTCCACTCTCCCATAATAAAGAATGAATGGAAGTAATTTACTAAGGACTTTTTATGTAATTTTTGTAGTTGTTTGGACACAGACCAAACATCACCACTTTGCCCTTAAAAGGAATTGTATTAGAAAACTGTAACTATGCAAGAATAAAGGTGAAGCCACT